GGTTACAGACGGGTCTCGACCGACGTCTCTTCTCAACAAGAGTAAACCCGTCCTTATCAATTTTGTCTTGGGTCACCACTGTAACTTGGGTGACAGTAACATCGGCTTTCAACGTGGTAATGTCTTTCAAGAATCTGGTCACGTCTACGTGATCGAACGTCACGGGAGGCAGCTTCTCAACGATCACGCGCGACGAAAGTTGGGATGTCATCAGGGTCGGTCTCATTGAACAGCCTGAAGATGTCTTGCAGGTCTTTCTTACCGCGTCCATCCCTGTGACGTGTGATGAGACGGATTTGGCTCACGGCTGAATCTGCTAACACCTTCTTCGCTTGGATGATCTCGTCCTTGGTGAAGCTTGTCATCAGTATCTGCTCCAGAGACACCTGGTCCATGACGTCCAATTTTTGTTGAACAAAGGCCAGGAACTCGTGAACTACGACGGTTTCGGAGCGTTTAGGTTGACACGCCGTTTCGGATTATTTTCGCGCAATAGGTATGCTTACGCCACGAAAATATTGTAGGTTCGGCATTAGAGCCGTCACGTCATTTCGAAGCGACTGCACTGACCGGTAGTAAAATTATTACTAATTATGCATAAATTTCTTAATATTATAATAACCCTTTTTATACAAACTTTCCTTAACAAAGTTTTTAAACTTTGTGGAGGTCAAATTTTTTTTATTTTCTGGGATTTTGTTGAAAAAGCGTATTCATCGCCACAAAAATGAATTACTGACTCGGTGGAGTCGAGTTTGTATATTCCTAGTAATTTCAAAATGAATATCACTTATTATTTTAAATCTACTTTTTATAAATGTGTACATACTCATTTTTGTGAATGCATTGAGAGACCAAAATTAATATATTAATTGCCTTAAGTTTTCCTAATTGTTTTAAACCATAGATGACTGCTCTTATGATCCTGTTCTATAAAACAAATATAATTTCGCGTGTCTCCATATCAAAATACCTTACGATAATATGCTATGGAAATAGCTAAAGTAAACTGGTCTAGCTGTCTGTCAATACTGATCAGATTTCTAATCTTTTCTACAGCATATGTTGCAGAACTAAGGCTGCCTGCTAGTTTCGATATATGGGGGTCCCATTGAAGTTTCGCATCTACTATTATTCCGAAGTAAATGTCAAAAAAAATCACAAGACTTAGCACTTCCCAATTTAAAATTACATTGGTATTTAGATGTTTGACTTTTTTCTGATCAGTATTCCACACAATGACAACCAGCGATACTAGTATTTAATAAAACTAGAGAGTATTTTAACAGATATCGTAAATATCTGTAAAAAAACTATACGACACAAATATAAAGAAGCGAGGCAGACGAATCATATCGCTGTCGCGTCCCATCGTGGACAATCTATATTGTCGTGCGCTTAGCACGACGTAAAATTGTTATGCCGAACGTTTGTTTGAACTGAGACGTGGTCCTTCACTGCTGGCCGTATGAGGAAGCTCAAGGTCGCTCAGTGAGCTATGGAGAGGGCTATGCTCGGAGTTTTTCTGCGTGATAAACTTAGGAATGAGGATATCCGCAGTAGAACCAGAGTAACCGACATAGCCCAACGGATTAGTAAGCTGAAGTGGCAGTGGGCCGGCCATATAGCTCGAAGAACCGACAACCGATGGGGAAGAAAGGTTCTCGAGTGGCAGCCTCGTACCGGTAGGCGAAGTGTAGGGCGTCCCCCCACGAGATGGAGTGACGACCTGGTAAGACATGCAGGAAGTCGATGGATGCAGGTGGCTCAGGACCGTGCTTTGTGGCATTCTTTGGGGGAGGCCTATGTTCAGCAGTGGACTTGTGAAGGGCTGTAATGATGATGATGATGATGAACGTTTGTTGCACCGTCGTCGTACCGACTATGGTTCTTTATAAACGGCTTTCCGCCGCGCTGCCATATGTTAACAGACTTCACATATCTTCGAAATATTTTTAAATACTTAGATTTGCAAGTTTCGTTATAATGTTTCCTGCGACGCTGAGCACGTGGAATATCAGTTTTTAAATTACCATAAAATTTTTTCGGTACCTGCGGCGATCAAACTTGTTTTGCTCGCCACTTTTTTATGGCTAGCGCTTATTAGCTGAGCCAATACGGCTCTTATAAGCAACTTGTTACTACATAAAATAACTACACGAGTTTCATTTTCCAATAGAAGCCATATATCTTTCAATACTAAGTCTCTTGTAAAAGTTTATCTATAATCTTACATATATATCTACACTATGTCAAAAGATTAGTAAGACAAAAACATCGTGTTTCCTTCTCTCACCAGAAAACCTCTCACTTTTCACGATCTAAAACCCGGATGAGAGTCGTATTAATAATATAAAGCTATTTTGGCGTTTATCGGCAAGTAGAGGCGATTGGCGGGAATCACTACAAGGTTCGCTTTAATCCTATTTATTCCACCACATCGCTGCGTTATCATAGTGACCGTGTCCCACATAAATTGTATTTGTTATATGTTTCTTTTTTTTTTAAATCGTATTGACATAATTATTCCTGAAAATATTAGTTAAAATGTAATGGAAGACCCAACAAGGATGACATTTTTTTACATGGGGAAATGCCTACGCATACCCGCCTCGCGGGGGCAAGGACGGGTTATGTCGGATTCGCACCGACTAAAACCCCATGGTGTTCCACCTTCGCCGCATATTGGCAGGGCCACGGAAACGCTTTCGCACACATCCCCGACCCCACCAGCGCCGGCCGCCCCATGGCAGCCCCTTCTCGGGGGAGGACCTCTCCTCCCTATTCTCCTCCAGGCAAGGCGCACCAGGAACACAAGGCACGCCCCCCTCCACGGCCTCCAACTCTACCTGCGTATTGGACCCCCCAAATCCGATACCCGGAGGCCATGGGGCCAGGAAAATTGAGCGCTTAGTAACACCCGCTTTCCCGACCCCAGCTGCGGATCTGGTCTCCCAAGGGGTTCCTCTTTGTTCACTGCGGGTGACCAAGCCACGGCTAATAAGCCGTACGGCCCCGCCACGACAAGGCGGGAACCCGTTCGGGGGGGCCAACGGGGATGACAAACCAGCACACAGTCTATTTGGTGTGAAGTTCAAGCTTTGGCCCATAGACATACATCTGCCCTAAATAAATAAGTGGTGATATTAAAATTTTTGCTCAACCGACTTCAATATAAATAAAATGAAAACATCATTAATGTAGTCGAAATCAATTAAATACACATTGTTAAGGACAACTCAAAAACTAGGGGTCAGATCTCGATAAAAATTATATGAGACCACATGAAAAGCACCAGCTTTTAAATAAAAAATCACCAATATCAGTTAACCTAGAAAAAAGTTTTGAGGTAATACAGTCGAATTGAGAACCTTTTTTTTTGAAGTCAGTTGAAAATTTTACATGAAGATGCCTTTTGTGTAATGAAAGTAACCGGTAGCTGAGGCCTATTGACACCAGCTTATATCCTCGATTATGAATCATAATACAGATGCGGTGTGTTATTCCTAAGATAAAATGGCTCCGTAGCAATAAAAAGAGTCTTCGGTTTCGTCATGTACTAATCAATAAGCACCTGTTAATTGAAATGTGTATATAACAGGTATATATATGTAACATAATTATAGAATGTACATAATCATCATTATTCAACAAGTCCGTTGAACATTGCACTAGACTACAAAACACGGCTGCCACAAAACATGTATCTATCCACTTCCTGATTGTTATACCAGTTTGCCAATAGGCCTCTCCCATAGATTGCCTTATATATATATATATATATATATATATATATATATATATATATATATATATATATATATATATATATATTATTGCTCAAATAAAATAAATTTATTTGATCTTAAATGTTCTACAAATGCAAAACATCGTGATGTTCGATATTATTTACTTCTACTGGCGAATCTACTCGTAAAACTTAAAAAAGGGAAAACGCGGTGATTGCGACCCAAATTACCTTAGTAATCGGTAAATTGTGGTAGAGCCTTGCTCCAGCTTTATTATAGTTGTAGCACGAATGGGTTGGCTCGACTTAGGAAAGGACCGCGCTCTCAGAGAATACCAGCGTAAAATAGCAGCTTAATACTGCTGTGTTCCATATGGTGTGTGTGGAGAACCAGAGACCCTTTTTGCTGGAAATTAGGCATTATATACCTTAGTCCTCTATTTATATTAAACTACATTGTTCTTTTATTAAAGTATTTATTTATCTTATCTTGCACGGCCCGACTGAAGAATACCTTACCTATTGATTATTTCAATTTTGAAAGTAGGTAATGTGATGTGATATACCAACGTAAAATGCTGCTGTGTTTTGTATGGTGAGTGTAGAGAACCGGAGGCCCTCTTACCGGAAATGAGGCATTCGGAATTCGGCATTCCATCCTAGTCCTCAGGGGTGACAAAGCATCTTTATTTTGATTCTTAACCGAGGATAGATGTAGATGTCTATGGGCCACAGCAACCACTTACCATCATGTCAACTGTGTGCTCATTTGTTAGGGGGATATTTGCCTTAGTCACCACGCTTCGAAAGCGAGTTGGCAACAGCAATTTTTTTTAGTCGTTATTACTAAAAATACGATACCAACGGGATGATATAGGGTAGTGGATATTCTTACATCGCACTATGTACTGCCATGTGTTTCTTCCATATTATTTACATTTAAAATGTAAACACAATATTGTTTTATGTAAAATGTTTTTGGATTCAATAAATATTATTATTATTATTACTAATAACTTTTCTGCTTCATCAGTCCCTTAAAGTCCTTTTCCCACTATAGGGAGGATTTGACTTGATTGCCAAGCATATAAGTTTTACCTTCTTAATAATTGGCTAATTGTACCTAAGAGTAATGATTTACATCCCTTCACAAGTGCAGCAGTACAGGCCAAGGAATGCCACAATGCACGGTCCTGAGCCAATTGTATCTAGTATATACTATACTATATTCTAATGCTTAATTTGTTTACAGATTGATTGATCAATATGCATCGAATCCGGAAATATTCGACATAAATTGTGTGGACCCCCTGAACCGGTCAGCACTAATAGCGGCCATAGAAAATGAAAATATAGAACTCATCAAGTTGCTTCTGGCATCTGGTATCAAAGTTAAGGTAAGTATTTGTATATAGAACAGTGATGCACTTCATTGAACTCCGAGCATAAAATTCTCCATAGCTCGCTGAGCGACCTTGAGTTTCCTAATACGACCAGCAGTGAAGGGCCTTGTTTTAAATCCATATTTCACCACTGGCAAGTCGCACTGGTTGTAGATATCTTTTTATTGCTCATAGCATAAAATTGTTATGATAACGGAAAACTTATGAACTACAAACGATAGTCATGTCGCTTTAAGCAATTTCTACCTGACAAACCGAACGTAAAACGACATTGTAATTTTATATTTTGACGGAGAGGTGCAATATAAAATAAACTTGTTAAACAAAATAAATAGTTTATATTCTATTGTTTTCAAGTTATGCGGACAAGAAGATGTTGTGTTCTAATCTTCCGCACGCTCAGCAGCTGAGTTAGTTCCAACGATTGACCTCTCGGTCGAAGTTGAACTCAACTAGTCGGAAAATTTGTCCCAGGTAAACATACTCGTCAACAACTTCGAGCGTAATGCTCCCAACATAGTTGTTGCGGCTTTTATCTGAGTGACAGAATTCGCAATGTTTATGCAAAAGCATTCGAGACTTCGAAATGAGGATGTCCGCAATAGAACCAGAGTACCCGGCAAAGCCCAAAGGAGAAATAATCTGAAGTGGTAATAGGCCGACCATATAAGTGGAAAAACTGTTAACTGATGGGCGAAAAAAGATCTCCGGTGACAGTATCGTGTAAATAAGTTATGTGTAGGGTGGCCTCTCACTAGATGAAGTGACAACCTGGTAATACATTGAAGGAAGTAGATGGATACCGGTGGCTCAGAACCGAATTTTGTTTTATTTCTTGGATAATGCATGTGATCAGCACTTTTGGTGATAAAAATACTTTAATATTGTATAATTTATATACAGAGGCGGATTAAAATTCGATAGCGCCCTAGGCTAGCAGTTCATCGGCGCTCCTCTGGCGGCCATATGTTAAAAATATTACAACTTATTTTGCATATAAAATTATTATATTATAATTTGTTATATAGTTTCGTTGCCAAATAATTAGGACACGTAACCCTACACAGGTGGGCGTGGATGAAAAATGGGATAAGAAAGTGAGGGCGATGTAGTTATCACATCTCTATACAAAGTATGATTTTTAATTAATGTAATAAGTACCTACTTATTACATTAATTAAAATCATACTTTAATGTTATATAATACTAATATAATAATACATATTATGTATTATTTTCCGTTGAAAAATTACCGCGCGCACCCTTTGGCATGTGCCTAGATTGCCAGTGGCAGATTATATAAAATAACAGTTTATATAACTTATAAATTAACTTTTAATAAAAAGTAAAAGCTGAATTCAAATGACAAAAAATAATAATTTCACATTCTAAAGTCGGTCCTAAGAAGTGCTAAGAGCATAGAAGAATTCAGTCTGTGAAATATTTTTTCTTTTTAATTCTTTGAAGTTAGCTTTTACTTTTTATTAAGAGTTAGTTGTATTACCATACAGAGTGGACTAAGGAAAATCACAATCTCAATTTCTAATTATATTATTATAATATAGACTAATTAGTAACATTAAAAATTTCATGCCCTATTTTGCCAACCTAGGGGTTGAATTTTTTCGTCAAATTTATATGCGACTATCATTGATGTATAAACTATGTAATAAAAAAAGAAACATCAAAATCAGTTACTGATTTACGAAAATATCACGTTACATAAAACAAAATATTGTTAACGAATTGTTAATCTCTTCCTTGTTTGAAGTCTGCTACAAATTATAAACGATGAAACGATGGTAGAGGAACTTGAAATGCTTTATATTCTGTAACTAGCAATGCCCGCATCTTGTTCGCATAGAAAATATTTTAGTAATTTATTATTATACTTACCTATTTGAATCGGATTTTGTTCACAGCTTCGTGGTTCAACTTAATTTTTTGTCCGGTACCCTAGTTCTTTTTCTAAAATATAAGTTGCCTTAGTTACTTCTTATATTATCAGCTATCTGTCAGTGAAAGTCCTGGTCAATATCGGTTCAGTCGTTTCGGAAACAAGTTTGAACAAACAGACAGACAAACAAAACTTTTAATTTTTTTGTAATAAGTATCGTATATACTTTCATATGCATTTAGTTAAAAGCTGTTATTTTGAAATTACAAACATACAGACAGACAAACAGACAAACAGATTATCGGGTCTTTTCTTCTTTTTTAATAGTCCACTTCAGGAAGTCCTATTGCATTGTAGCGAAGATTCAATTAGTCTAATTTATAAAAACAGTGTTTGTACTAATAACTTCTAAGAGAAGGATTAAGTTAAAATTTGTTGCCGTACGGTAGCGGTGTCAAAGAATCCATCACCACGTTTCGTCCCGTGGGTTACGTAATAGGGAACTATGGTATGTAAATGCCAAAAAATTTACTAACTGGTAGAACTTTCTTTTACCTCTTTCTGCCGCCAAATATGATTGCTTGCACTCTTATGCAGCGGTCTGAAGGGTATTGAAATCCAGTATGATTACAGGATGTGTTACAATACCCGTATCCTATACCTCGAAGGTGAATACGCAAATGTAGATTTCCTTTTGGCCATGTCCATTAAAAGAAAAGGGGAGATCTCTTACCGTGATCGGCCCGGGGAGCGGCCAACGCTCCAAGTGGTAGTTTTTTTGCGCCCAAAGCAAGAGGCTACCCACCGGAAAGCGGGGGAGGGATGTTGTGAATGCTCTTATCATACCACGCAGCCGCCTGCGTGGTAATGTGGGACTCACTTGTGGTGCCTAACCCACTAACGACCATCTGTGGGACTGACTTTGGCCTGTATGGCCTTTTTGCCGTATCGGAAGATACCCCCATTAAGGAAAGGGGGCGAGTGGTAGTTCGGAGCTATTTTATATATACGGTTTTTACTTCGGAACTTTGATAGCGCGAGTTAGGTTTAGTTGTGTTTAAGTAGCTATAGTAGGTACTTACCAACACGTGAACTACTCGCATAAGTTCACAGAAAACAAGTTAAGTAATAAAACTTAAATGTTTAACAGAGCCAAGTATATAAAGTGCGTACCACTCCAAACATGTTCCTATGTAATAATTTGAAATCATAAATATAACATATGTGATATAAAGATCAGCATAAACAAAGCCGTGTCTTTGTTTAAATAAGAACAAATCTTCAACAAGCCTCAGATGTTCCGGAGGGAAATCATTCTGTCGATAGTTTGCATAAAAATTCACTCATATATTTTCATAAGAGCTGTCTCTTCATTTTTAACGCAATCCTCTGTGCGCCGTAAATATGATTTACTGTGACTAGCATCCTCCTTCTATATAGTGTGAGAATATGTTTTCTATTATTCCATAATATCGTATAAAAGTGCACTGTTGAATATAGGCCTCCTTTGTACATTGCCTCATAGAGACACGCTTGGCGAGCGGGTTGTCAATCGAAGTTTTTTATTATTTTAAGTAATGCTGTCCATTACTTACGATATCTATTTCCTTCTGTCGCCTCTTACGAAACCCACGGAACGATATGGGGTAGTGGATATTCTTACACTGCCGCTACACGGTCAATATATTAAGTGTATTTATTGAGATGAATATATATTTATACTTAGTTAATTAGGATATTCTTGTACCGTTGTAACTCAGTAGCTAAGTATTCCCCGTGAAATCAAATTGTACGCGATCCCCGTTGCCACCAATGAATTGTTAGTTGTAATTTTAAGTGCTAATTCACCACGTGTTCGGTGATGGAAAATACCGCGATAAACCGGCACGCCTGAGAAATAACAAAATCGAGGAAATGTGAAATCGGCCAATACGCACTGGAGTAGTGCGGCGAAGTAATTGCTTCTTAACCCTCTCCTAAGGACTTAGAGATGTATATTGATGTATTTGGTCAAAAATATCCTTAATGTAAAAGGATAGGCTGTAGCTATACTTCCACATTAAGAATATTTTTGACTAAACATATCCTTTTCTTCCTTTTTTTCAGGCCGTACAATCCACTGCTGAACATGGTCCTACTTCAAAGGAATTCTAGGTTTGCTAGGATTTGCAATAATCGCCACGCTTGATAAGCGGATCAAGAATTGCAGTACGATGTCCTTTGACTTTTTTGATTTTTTTATAGAAAAGGTGACAAATGTTTACACAGTCCACCTTATAGTAAATTATTATTCCGGCCCATAGACATCTGTATGATGTCTCGATGAATCAAAATGCAGATCCGTTGCAACCTATTCTTTATTATAAAAGCCCAATAATATTTAAACATTTTCTGAAAACGTTATAATAAAGTTGCAAATACCGGAGCCACTTGAACAGTAGCTAATACATCATGAATTTCAAATTTACTCCAAATTATTCCTAATTTTACAAGCAATAGCCCAATCATGATGAAGCCTACAAGGACAAACTCCTCGTATCGGGTAATATAAGTAAATTGGATCGTCTCTGTAATACAATTTTATGTATTTGCATACAGGTTAACAACTTACACGAATTAGATTTACTTGTGGTTCGGGGTTCGACAGTTTTAGAATTCAAGTTTATTTAAGACAACTCGTTTTGCATACAACATTTATTTTAATTAGTATTGTTATATAAACAGCTAGTAAAACTAAATGGATGTAAAATATAAATATTATGTGTATCTTTGATATAGCTATAGCGAGTTTATAACTATATAACGAATAATTAATATAACTTCGTAGATTAAAGCAGATTAAATATTGTCTGATATTTTAAAGAAAACTTAACACGAGATAAAGTAAAAAAAAAAATTTTTGTCTATTAGGTCGAGGAAAAAGTTTCGTCGTATTTTATATACAAATTCAAGACATTTTTTTCATACTTTAGTTACGTTTAATTATTATATATGTGAGCTATTTACCTCGATAACTTTTTGGCATCTTGTAGGTAGTGACACAATCCCGTTGCTGTAGAAATCTTGGGATTTTTTATCGAAGAAATGCGACAAGTAG